AAATTTGTTAAATAATGGATATAAAAGGTATACTAGAAAAGGCGTATTTTTATTTCAAAAAAATTCGAAAAACTATATTTCATTTCAAAAAATTTGAAAAAATAATTTTTGAGAGTTTTAGAATTTTTTTAACCTTTATGGGACTGACGAGGTACCCAGGTACCGTTTGCATTTTCAAATTGACTTTTTTCATAATTTTTAAAATCGTATCGACCTAAGGTTTTTTGACTTCTCAAATTTATCCATACAAAGTGTTTTAATATTATTTATAATGTACCTACCTTTTTTTATAACAAAGTTTCTTCACCCTTAAAAGGCGGACAATACATATACATATGAGAGATTCTTTTTCAATCGCCCCAGCCCAAAAAGTCAATGTTCTGGGATTGGCTTCATACTTTGGTAAATTGTTGTCCTATATGATAGTAATAAATCCCTAAAATATAAACTAATTAAAAAAATATTTGTAGAAAGTAGAGGGGGTTGAAGTTTTGACGTTAAGGGTAACATTGTCATTTTCAAATCCGTTTAACTATGACAAAAGTTAATGGATTTTAATTTATCTATAATGAATTTTATTGCATTTTTCACGTACTTTTCAAAAATGTATACGAAATTTAAAAAAAAAAATTTTTAACCCCTTTTTTTTCAAAATCAACCCTTATTTTTCGATTTTCACCCCTTCGGGAATTTTTTTTTGTTTTTTTTTTATTTTCATTGGAAAGCTGAGGTTTTTTCCCATGAGCTATGTAAATATGAAAATGGGACAACAATAATTTTGTGAGAAACATAATATTAAATTAGGCGGTGCCTATCTAAATCCTCAAAGATGATCTCCAGGTACACCCCTTATCGGCACCGCCTACTTTAATATTCTGTTTCTCACAAAATTATTGTTGTCCCATTTTCATATTTACATAGCTCATCGGAAAAAACCTCAGCTTTCCAATGAAAATAAAAAAAAAAAAAAAAAAAATACCCGAAGGGGTGAAAATCGAAAAATAAGGGTTGATTTTGAAAAAAAAGGGGTTAAAAATTTTTTTTTTAAATTTCGTATACATTTTTGAAAAGTACGTGAAAAATGCAATAAAATTCATTATAGATAAATTAAAATCCATTAACTTTTGTCATAGTTAAACGGATTTGAAAATGACAATGTTACCCTTAACGTCAAAACTTCAACCCCCTCTACTTTCTACAAATATTTTTTTAATTAGTTTATATTTTAGGGATTTATTACTATCATATAGGACAACAATTTACCAAAGTATGAAGCCAATCCCAGAACATTGACTTTTTGGGCTGGGGCGATTGAAAAAGAATCTCTCATATACATATCTATACATTTCATGCAGATAAATCTCGAAATTTCTATTAAAAAATTTAAAAAATTACATTAAAAATTTTTTATTAATTTTTATAGTAATGCACATTTTTTTTGTAAAATATTTAATTTAGTTACTATAGTTTAATAATAATATTCATAAGAAATCTTCAGTTTTTAACTTAAAAATTACCATAAAAATGAAGATTGGATAGAATTAAGTTGTGTTAAAATGTATTTTAAATAATAAAAAATACATTTATATAACACCTTAGTCAAAACCTCGACTAAAAAAGTAGTTTTTCAATATCTAGAGGTTAAAAAGCGGAGAAATCTTACTTTTTATAACAGCAGACCCCTCCATCCAAGTTTCATCATCAGTGCTACCAACCCAACTTTCTATGTAGTCACTGAAAATATAACTAGCCGTCGCGCTGAGTTTCGTCACGAGCATGTATCGTGTTGACACTTACCGTTCATAACCATTCATAACCTCGTGTTCTCGCAAACATTTTGTTGTCGTGAAATTGACGTGCAGATGTTTGATTGTTAAATTGTTAGATAGTTTCATTAATGTGCAATGAATTCGTGCGCAGGAGGCGAAGAAGGTTCAATTGGTGATTTAATTAACTTGGCGCGAGGCAAGTTAATACCAGAAAAATCGAAATCGATATACCTAACCTGTTATCAAAATTTCAAAACATGGCTGAGTGTGAACAATGTATCGATATCTGAAGACATCATGATGGCATATTTTGAAGACATATCTAACGAGAAAGCACCGTCGACGTTATGGTCTGTTTATTCAATGCTAAAAAAAACCATTCGTCAATACGACAATGTTGATATAAGTGAATTCGCCAATTTAATCGATTTGTTGAAAATTAAAGCAGAAGCTTTTCAGCCCAAGAAAGCGAAAGTTTTCACGACAGACGAGGTGAACAAATTTCTAACCCAAGCCACAAATGATAAACATCTGGCAACAAAGGTATGTATATATACATATAGATATATTTTGTATTTTAATTAATTTATTATGTTTTTATTATTAATTCATTTATTATTTTTACACAATTATATTTACAAACTATAAAAAAATAACAGGTATCATCTATTTTACTTATTTTTTGTAAATTTTAAATCCTATTTAAAATGTGTAAAAATATTTTCCATAATTCAAAATTACAAAAATTTAATATTTCCTACAATTCTATTATTTTCAAAATTTTAAATATAATTCTTCAAAAATCCTAAGGAAATTCCAATTATTATTAAAAATGTTATCTTAAATTATTCGCTAAATTAATTATTTTAAATATTTTAATAAAGTTTTATAAAAATTCAATTATTTTGAGTATCTCTTCATTTAAAAATATGTAATATTTATTTATTAAATTTTTAAATGCAATTTTATTATATGTATATTTACAATTATATTATTATTTTAAGGTTGCTCTGATATTCGGAGTGCAGGGAGCTTCCAGAAAAAACGAGCTGCATAAAATGTCCATAAATGATGTTAAGGATTGTGGATCTTTCTACGAAATAACGATTCCAAAAACCAAAACAAGCATTGTCCGAAATTTCGTTGTTGGAGGACAAATGTATAACGTGGTGAAGGAGTATATTTCACATCGACCGGAAGGCGTGAAGGTTGAAAATTTATTCCTCAATTGGCAGAAAGGAAAGTGCACCAGGCAAGTTATAGGGATAAATAAATTGGGTTCCATGCCTTTCATAATCGCTACGTTTTTAAAATTACCTCAACCCGAACTGTATACTGGCCATACATTCCGACGAACATTAACAACGATTCTTGCTGATGCAGAAGGCGATCTCCTCATGCTAAAACGCCATGCAGGATGGAAGTCAAATCAGGTGGCGGAAGAGTACATAGAGGACTCAGTGGAAAACAAGAAAAAAATAAGTACTATGATTTCGACATCCATTTTGAAGCCGTCAATTAATACCACCCACAATGAAAATCAGTCACCAAACATTGAAGGGATTAATGTCGGTGTATCAAGTTCCAACAATTCTGCCACAATGGAATTCCCCGGCACGGATCTTTTGCACATATCAAACTGACAGAACGTCACAATCAACATATACAATGAAGTAAAAAAATAAGTTTCTACTTCATCTTTTGAAAAATTAATGTTATTAAGAATAACTTTCTATTAAAATTTTTATTACAAATAAAGACGAATAATTTAAGTTTGTTAAAAAACAAGTATTAAAAACGATAACTTGTTTTAATAATTGAAATGTTTAAAGATGTTGTGTCAAGAATTTAAATTATTATAGTTGAAAAACAACGTCTAACATTGTTTTCTTTGTATGCTTTAAACTACGTTGGTATTTTTTAATACCAAAGTTCCTAAATGTGTTCTTATCAATAAAATAAATCAAATAGACTAAAAAATGTTTAATCTGATTTTCCGATTTTTTAATCTTACTAATTTTAAATTTTAATTAATTTATTAAAAATTTATCAATTTTCAAATAATTTACTTAAAATTTATCAATTTTTAATTTGATCTTCCAATTTTTTTTTAAATTATAAAAATTATAATTTCATTTGTTAATTTCTTCAATTTACATTTTGTTTTGATGCCTTCAGCTCTGTGGTGCTTTATGACGGAATTTTCTAAACAATTTCAAAATTACTAACACGAATCAAAGTGACGCAAGTGGAAGTTTGTTTATTTATTCTTTTAAGTTGGTTTTTTTAGTAGGGGGCTTCGCCACCCGAACCCCCCACCGGGGCTCCGCCCCTTGTCACCGCCGGGCTTCGCCCTCCCACACTCCCCCCCCCCCAAGCAGCCAACTTGTTTTGTACGTTTGTCAATGGTTCTATGATCACCTTGGCATCTCGGTTTTGACTAAGGTGTTATATAAAATAGTGTGTGTAACTCGAGCGCATATAGGGGAATCTCGACTTGTGTGATTGTCGCACTCGCTTCGCTCGTGCGGCAAACTTTACACAAGTCTCGCTTCCCCTACAATGCGCTCTTGTTATATTACACAAATAACTATTCCTGCATTTTTATATTTGATTAGTATATACTAGTATAGTATATACACGGATACTATTCAATGAAAGATCAAGGAAATTGTGAATATATACAAAATACTTAATACGTAATGAACAGTTTTTTAATAATCAACTAATAATTCGTTTTTTTAAGGTCCTGGATCTAGCCTTTACTAATATAATGTTTCATTTGTTTGTAAATGTTAGTTTATACTGAGATATTATTATATATTGTGTTTAAAAGAATTCTAAGAACTATTTTAATTGATTAATTAAAAAAGGTAAGCTCTGAGTAATTTGCTTTTTTGTACATAAACATTGCTTTCATTATTAAACAAAATAAGAATAATTATATATTCGTATTATAAAATTATTATTGAATTAATTTATTAATTAAATAAATAAAAATAAAACTTTCATTGAAACGTCCACTACACTTAAAGTTGATTAAACTGCTCATTTTGATACAAAATCTTCTATAAATTAAACATATAGGTACCCGGGTGCCTCTTCCGCCCATAGAAGGTGTTTTTTCCTCAGTCCCATAAAGGTTAAAAGAATTATTAACGATTCAATTTAATAATGAAGCATAATAAACGAAATAAAAAATTAGTAAATATATATATCTATTTAACTTACTTAAGGTGGCATTGTTGACTCGAGATTGATCAGTTTGTGATCTTATTAATCTCAAACGATTCAATTTTGTTTGTTGTTGATCTAACCGATGTCGAAGTCGTGCAAGTCTATCTTGTTGGGATGGCTCCTAAAATTATAGAAACAAAGTGGTTTGTTTAAATAATTTGCAACAAAAATAATTTCATAAGTGTAATTTATGCGCCTTGTTTCTGATCGACAAAATATTTCATTATTAAATTTCTCCTAAAGTTTATCGAGTATTTTAAAAATAGTTCGAGTTACTTTATCTAGAACGCTAAGATCGTAACAAATCAGCAAACACGTTCTATAATTTATTGTTCTATGAAATTTATTGAACATTGTTCTAGGACTTTGTTTCAATCAAGGACATGTAGTAGTTATAGCACCAAAGGGTAATAGTGTTCTACAGAACAAAGTTCCTCATTTATTACATAACTGATCTATTTTATTGTTCTAGAACTGTTCTAAAACAAATGTTCTATAAGACAACTATCGCAAATTTCACTAAAAAGAAGTTCATCAAATTTTATATCAGTTTTACAAAATTCAAAATGTCAGATCGGATTTAATCAGATTTGCTTAAAATTTGTTACTTGGGGACTTTTGGGGTTGCAAGTCAGGAATTTGGCAACAATTTTACAAAATTTAAAATGGCAGATACAATATTTAATTTTTCTGTACCCTCTATAACTCCCACAAAACGCGAAATTTTCAGTTGAAAATTTCCGAAAGTTATATTCATGTAGGTGGGAACATATTGTAATGATCTGATTTTATTTGTCAAAGGATTTGCTCGCCGGATGGAGTCCGGGTACCTATTTTGACTAATTACTTTAAATCTCGGTAGATGGCGTGAAGCGCTAACTATGTTTCGATTACTTTCGGAACTATTTCTTACTATGATGTAGAGGAGAGGTGTAGTCATTGACGAGTCTTTATTTAAACCTTCGAAAGAATATATTGTTTAAATAAAAGAATAATAAAATATACAAAAATGAATTATTACATAAAATAATATATGAACAAAAGAATCTATATAATGCAAATAAAATACTAAACTCTAGAAAACATAACGATAAAAGGAACTAGCTATTCTAGTCTGTTCACTTGCTGTTTTGGTTTTGATCTCGCTCGGAGTGCTGCTGCAAATAAAAAAAACGATATTTAACAATAAACACGTTCGCGACCATGTCAGTCAGGATGACTGATTTAAATTTGCGCGGGGTACGCTCGAGAAGTTACCCCTTTGTGTTCGGTACGGACGATAACTAGGGTCGTGCACGCGAGGTCGATTAATTACGTAATCGGGGAGAAGCTAGATATGGGATTCGATTTCCATATTTCTGCCCGACACGAAGCAAGTGCGAAAGTAAAAAAAAACAAGAGTCTCCTCCATCCAAGGAGCGCCTCGAGATGGGGATCGTCGTGGAGCATCGTCTTGGTCGAGAGAGGAGCGCGTCTACCCGACGAGGACGGTCTTGTTGTGTAAGTGTCCATGTTTGTGTGTAACCTGGTTCACCAGTCTTCTACGGAAGCGCCCATAAGAAGTCCAGTTCATCAGGTGGAAGGAGGGCGAAGGGTGTTACTGTTCCGCAGGAGCGCCTACAGACACGAATACAGCTCCTTCTAGGAAGTGAGGAAGGCTCTGGTGTTCAGAGAGACGCAGCTCTACTGAGCACCAGGTACCCGGGAGTGAGTCGCTTCCAATTGTTGGATGCGGAATTATGTCAAATTTCATTTAGTAACGTCTGAATTACGATAACTTTATTTGTTTATAAAATATATCATTTTTTATTAACACTAAATAAGTTAGTTATTGTCACCGTAATTCTGACGTTACTAAATGAAAGTTGACATAATTCCGCATCCAACAAGCCCTATATGAAGTACTTTAAATTAGTGGATTGTTAATAAACAATTGGCTAACAGTGCAATTGTTTATAAAAATCCTCTAATCTAAAATAGTTTATATAGGGGCTCGTTGGATGCGGAATTACGACAACTTTCAATTGGTAGCTTCAAAATTGCAATAACTTTATTTATTTGTGAAATATTTCATTTTTTATTAAGATTAATTAATTAATTCATATCTCAAAAATAACAAAAAAAAGATATCTCAATAATTTTTGTGGTGAAAATACACATTTTTAACTTAAAAAAAATAAATAAAAAAAGACCAAACTTGAAAAAAAGTCAAATTTTAAATTTTCTTGAAAAAATTTTTACATCATTCGAAAGAGCAGGAAAAAACTTTTTGAAAACAAATAGGTCAAATTTTTTTCATCTTTCTGTTTAAAAGTTACAAGTCTTCAAAAATTCACTCAGGAGAGTTGGCTACAGTTTCATTCGTCAAACTAAAATTCCATACAATTAGGTACATTTAGCTTAAAATTTGATTTGTTTGTGAAATTAGTAGACCGTATAAGAGAAAGACTACATTTTTTAAATGAAAGAGTCATCAAAAAGTGATAAATAGCACAAGTTTTTCTTGTTACTTTTAAATCTTAATAAACGATTGTTTCAAAAACCAACTTTTTGAGAAATTCACTGAATAAAATATTGATTTATAATTTCTTGTAGACTAATAGTCAACATAATCTACGTATACATTATCGTAATATAAACTAATGTTTAATGATTCAAATTTTTCATATATTTACAGTACTAGCTTGTAATAAATTAAAATATCATATTAAGTTTTAACTGTCATCACTACAAAAAATAAAAAAAATATTTTGAAAAATTCCATTTCTACAACTATATTCCAATTTTCAGTTAAATTTCAGTAAAACGTCCGGAACAAATTTTCTCCCTGTACAGTTCTCGTTGGGGCTACTCGCGACTTAGCACAAATCAACGTTGAGCGAAATCCCCCCTTAATTCGAATCCGAAGATATATGCAAGCTCTGTATACTCTCATATTTGCGTCTCACAATCAGAACCAGTGCAGTTGGATATCCTTTACTTGTGGAGCCTTGATCATCCTTTCGATTTTCCAATTTTCCAATAGTTTGAGCCGAGATTGGTACTCTTGCCAATTTGATTCCAATTCTTTTGGGACCTGATCATCCCAATTAAGGCTCAAACGACACAATACTTGCAACAACATTTTTGCTAAGATGATCACAGGATCTACTAGACCTACGGGATCAAAAAATTGAGCTATTTTTGAAAGCATCACTCTTTTTGAAACAACTTTGTCCTCTTCTGAGTCTGGAACCTCGTACCGCAACGTGTCATCATTGGGATTCCAACATACTGCAAGCGTTCTCGTAGTTTTCTCCGAATCCCAATTGTTTAAAACATCTCGTTGCCATGAATAGTTCTGAGGCTGTTCCGTAAGTAACGGTGTTCAAATTATATGTCTTCAATGGCTCTTCTTTTGTCTCTTTCCACAGAATCTTCTGAAACGATCTATCAGCAGAATGTATAAAAAATTAACGTCATTGATATGCAAAGATGTAGCACTCAATTCGTTTTCTTTCGAAGTACTTGTACTGGATGATTTTTCGCCTTGCGTATTTGCGCACCACAAACTGTGGTGCCGCCGATTGCAGTGAGTACAATGTCTAGCCATGCAATCTCTTATTAAAAGGTTTTTTCGAAAGCAATTAAAACATAAACCCATTTGCTTAATACATTCCCAACGCTGAGGAACACTCATTTTTTCGAATTCCGAATACGATTGCATATAATGCATGATTCTTCTGACAAATCGGACACGTGATACCCTGTTGAGTATTCAGAAATGATTTTACGCTGACATTCTTGTTCCCGAAATTTTGATTATTTGTAAATTTTTAATTTCCTACATTATCTTTTGAATTATCATCTACATTATAATTTATTGTTTCCAAAATTTGACATTTTTCACGTAAGAAGCTACTCAATTTTTCAAACGTCGGCAATTCAGAGCCTACCATCGATTATTCCCATTTTTCTTTGTTTCTCTGTCTAATTTCGACACCACTTAAATATATAAGTGGGGTATTCCACTTATCCATAGGCTCACCTATAACCGTCAATGCTCGAAAATGATGTAATACATTGTCATTTGTCAAGCAAATTTCGCAATTCGACAGAAGATTCTTTGGATACGGCGGTCAATTCAAAAATTGCTTGCATATGATTCTTAATTATTATTTTTTCGTTATTATATCTTTCTTTTAAATGATTCCATGCGACTTCATAATTATTGTCAGCCGTTTCTAGAGATGCACGACGAGCGAGAAATTCTCGTTGTTTTTCTTTGGTTTACCTAATAAACGAGAATATATTCAGGACGAGAACATCTCCAGTCATTTGTTCATACTCGTCTTTTCTCAACTTCATTCAAATGAATTATTCTCGTTGAAGTGTCAATATAGATTGCCAATTTTAAGCTATAAAATATTATTACAGCAAAATGATGAGAAAAAGAAAAAGCACAGAATCTATTAACAATTTAGATGAGAGTACAGTTCAGGAAACTGAAAATAGTCAATCTCAAGAAGAAGAAATTCTCTCCGAGTAAATATAAACATATATAATTTAAATGTTATAAAAATAAATTTTATGAAAAATTCTTGATATTTGATAATTTTTGTACTAAACCCTAATGCACACAGAATATTTATAATTTAATAATTCCAATATAATATATATATATATATATATTTAAAAAGAATTTCATTCAATTAACCTATATGAAAAATTAAATTTTATTATAATTCCACGTTGTTATAATACTTTTAATATATATACGTATAAATCGTCGCTTATATTTTGTAGAACTAGTTGTGTTGAGAATAATGATGGAAAGAAAATGTTAGCTAAACGAAGGAAAACTAATGCTCCACAGTTAACCGAATTCTTTCACATTTTTGTCGAAAATGGGATGAAGCAAGCTCGATGTAAACTCTGCGAATCAAATAAGCCACCAATAATCAAAATTTTAAAAATGACTGATGCTAATACATCAGGAGTCAAGCGACATCTTAATCGATATCACGAAAAGAAATTCAAAGATATCTACTTTGCGACTCCAAAATCAAAAGTACAAATTTCATTGTTTTTTTAATACCCACTATACAAATTTTGACCAATATTTTGCTAAAATATAAAAGT